CTTCCCTCTCCCCAGCTGCCCTGCAAAGAAGCCATGTTTTCTGAGACCCCTGCAGCCAGGCTCTGCCACTGCATAGAGACCCCACCTCCCCTGCAGCTCTCCGGACACAGTTGTTAAGCGCTCCACAGAAGCCTGAATCGATATTCTTCACACATTTTAATCAAAACCTAAAGGCTTGTGTGACTCCTAGTCTTGACTCTCACTGACCAGTTTATCCCTGATACCAAGTGATATGCAGGCCCCTTGGTTACTAGGAAACTGGGGTTCTCTCTTTGGGATTCTTGGAGGATTTTGTAAGGCTGGTGAGGTGACCCGGTGGTAAAGGCCCTTACTTCTATGCCTGACAACCCGAGTTCAGCCTTGAGGACCCCAGTGGTAAAAGTTCTCTCCTGCTCTCCACCTGTGGGCCCACACACATGCACATGAATCTGAGAACGTAATGAAAAATGTTTTTAAAGTATTCGAAGATGAACTCAGAACAGTTTTGTTAAAGCCTGAGAGGAAAACAAGAGGAGAAGCAAACTTAAAATCCTGGCAGTGGCCGGGGAGAAGGGAGATGGAGAGTCAGGCCTTTGCAGTTTGGAGGTCAGAGAAATGGGGGATGTTCTGAGCATTGGGGATGCATGCTTTGAAGAGCTGAGTTCAGAGGAACCGAGTTCCAGACTCGTGTGTCTGAGAGCAAAGGATTGCACCAGGGACACATGGTTAGAAACAGAAACAAAGACAGTTTATTAAAAAAGAAAGAAAGAAAAAGCAGAGGGTGGGAGAAATGGCTCAGTGGTTAAGAGCACTGACTTCTCTCCAATGGAGGATGGTTTGATTCCTAACAGTCACAGGGTGACATGCCTCCATCTGCCACTCCAGTTCCAGGGTAACTGGTGCCCTCTTCTGGCCTCTTCTGGCACTGTATGCTAGTGCACAGATATACTCACAGGCAAAACACCCATGCACACAAAAACAAATCAATCTTGAAAGATTTTTTTAAAGAAAGAAAGACAGAAGAGGCAGATCTCTGTGAGTTCAAGGTCAGCTTGCTTTACATAATGAGCTCCCAGCTAGCCGAAGTTTCACAGTGAGACTGCCTCGAAAAATTAAAATAAATAAGCAGGAAGAAAGGAAGGAAAAAAAGAAGGGAAAGAAAAGAACGGGAGTAGGGTGTTGAGTTGAGGAAAGAGCCCAGAAAATTCTGGGCTGCATCACCCCGACCCTCCTTAGGTCATTTTCATAGCACCCGATTCTCCCAAGTTCGTATACTGCAGGCTTTTCTTTTGTGTGCTCTATTAGAGAAAATCCAGGCAAGGAAGGACTTCCTCTACTCCTCTGCAAGCTGGCATCTTTCCCACTTAATCCTTGAGCTTCTGCCAGTCCCTCCCACCTTTCAAGCTCTGCCTCTTGCACAGGTTCCGTGTGTGTGTGTGTGTGTGTGCGTGTGTGTGTGTGTGTACATGCGTGTGTGTGTACATGTGTGTACATGCGTGTGTGTACATGTGTGTGTACATGCGTGTGTGTACATGCGTGTGTGTGTACATGCGTGTGTGTGTGTGTAGATTGGACCATTCTCCACAAGCGTCTAGGCTAAGCGCTGTCAGCCCATGTGCCGCAGCATTGATGGTACACATCACCCTGTCACTGGTCTGTAATCTGTCTCCAGCACAAGCCTGGATGTCGAGAGGTCCCTCCGTTTAGGGTAGTGTGTCTGCCTCACTCTGCAGGTGGGGGTTTGATGGGCACAGCTGATGTCTTCTTTCAAATTTTATTTTTTTATTTTTGTGTGGTACATTTGCCCACATACATGTGCACCATGTGTAGGCATTACCCACAGAGGCCAGAAGGGGGGGCCATATCCCTGGGAACTGATGGTGCAATGGGTTAAAAGTACACCCATCATCCCACGCTCACCCCCTCGCCGTGTTGAATTCAACCTGCCAGCTGATGCTTCTGTACTTCCCGAGTGGTCAGATGAGCAGCTGGATTACTGAGTCTTCTTTTCTTTTCTTATTTTTTTCTTTTCTTTTGACTCCATGTATCTCTGACTTTCTTGGAATTCGTACTGTAGACCAGGCTGGCTTCGATCTCAGAGATTCTCCCGCCTCTGTTTCCCAAGTGCTGGGATTAAAGGTGTTTGTTACCAAGCTTGGCTGTTTCCTGAGTCTTTAAAATCCTGGATGTGTTTATGTCTCCTTGCCTCTTGAGTTTTTTTTTTTTTTTTTTTTTTTTTTTTTTTTTTGGTTTTTCGAGACAGGGTTTCTCTGTGGCTTTGGAGCCTGTCCTGGAACTAGCTCTGTAGACCAGGCTGGTCTCGAATTCACAGAGATCCGCCTACCTCTGCCTCCCGAGTGCTGGGATTAAAGGCGTGCGCCACCATCGCCCGGCTGCCTCTTGAGTTTTCAGGCTTGAAATTCTTCAAAAGATCTCAGATGTCTGTCTCCAGAAGCAATTTCGCTTGGCTTCATGTGGTTGGAGCTACTTTTGTGTTAGGGGGCTATACTGGCTTTTGAATTTTATGTTGTTTTGTTTTGTTTTTTGAAACAGGGTTTCTCTGTATAACTGCCCTAGCTGTCCTGGAACTTGCTTTGTAGTAGCCCAGCTGACCATTGGAACTCCAGGGCTCTCTTCCAGCTTGTTCCCCACCACGTGCAGGTGTGTGACATGCCTGTGTGGAGTGGGTAGGGCCCTGGGTCTGCACACACTGTTTTTAAAAACAAACCAGGGTTTGGGGAGATAGTCCACTCATTGGAGAAGTGCTTGCCACAAAAGCATGAGGACCAGAACTTGGTCTTCAAGAACCCACAGGAGCAAGGTGGGGGAGTCAGGAACGGTGTAATCTCAGCGCTGGGGAGGTGTAGGCAGGCACGTTCCTGGGCCTCACTAGCCAGCCTGACCTGGCCGACTGAGTGAGTTCCGAACTAGTGAGAGACCCCGCCTCAAAAAATAAGGTGGATGGTACCTGAGGAACTGACACCCTCACGGGCCTCCACGGACATACACATACATGTTTCACACACCTGTCCTCATGAGCACAAACACGTATACACAAATTATGATGTCCAGAAGGCTGTGTCCTTCATGGGTCATGGTCAAAGGTGTTCCTACTGGAATATTGTTCTGGTGCTGTCTCAGGTTGGACATATTATAGGGCTTTGGAGTGAGCTCTGTTTTGGCCCAGTTGGTCAGTCAGCAGCTGCTGGGTAGTGGGAGGGGCTTGGGAATGCACTATGGAGTAACACCACCCCTGACAAAAGGAAGCCTGGGTATGGCTGTTGAAGTCACAGCATAGCCAATGGTATGTCAACTCCTTAAGATCTTGTGGTCACTACCTGTGCAATGAATGGGATTAGTGTAGCCCTGGACATTCGGCAAAAAAAGACCTGATTCTGCACAGCTGCCAGGCTCCACAGTACTTGTGGGTGGCCTGACTGCCCCAAAGCCAGGTTGGGTAACTCCTCCCCCTAGCCGACAGGGTTAGTCATTGCTGACACCTCCCGAGTCTTTCCCGTTTTCCAGAACAATCCCTATAAACAGGTCATGCGATATGCCACATGTTTGGTGTCAAATTCCTTTGCAGGTCCATGACTGTATTTTGCATATTGAGGTGGTTCAAAGGCTGACCTCCTCCAGGAAGTGCCCCTGCCTAAATGCTGCAGCCGGTGGTGGTAGCCTCTGTTCCCAAGCCTCGCTTTATCCAGGGGTGAACTTAGTACCTCGGCCCATCCAGCCACCTCCCACCTCAAAAGTCACCGAGCCCCTCCCAAGTCAGGCACTCTGCTAAGTCTAGGGGTGTTAAAACAACTGGAGGTTTATAAGCAAGCCTGGGTGGTGCTAAGTGCCCTGTACTAGCAGAGCAAGGAGAACTTTCTAGGCAATGTGAGCCCACAGGGGCTGCTCAGTATCTTTCCTAGGGAAAGTGTGCCTTCATCCAGACGGTCATCAATCAATAGGACGTATTTAGTATACCAATGTGAAGCACCAAGGGGCTCCTCCCAGACAGGTGCTGCCTGGACACAAGGCTCAGCGCCCTGCCCGATGGCACATGCCTGTAATCTCAGCCACTCAGGTGGATGTGCAAATTCTGTGTTCTGTGCTCTGGGTACCCTGGTGATACCCTGCGTTGAAGTTCAGATTTTAGAAAAAGGCCTGGGGATGTCACTCAGTAGAGTGCTGGCCTAGCCCATGCAAGACCCTGCATTCACACCACAGTACTGAAAAAACAAAAACAAAAGGCAAACAAAGATGCAATGATCTTTCATGCCTGCTTAACGCAAACGTAATCATAGCTTGTGCTAAAATGACTTAGTGAAAGGTTTGCTTTTTAAGGATTACTTTTATTATCTTAAATTGTGTGTGTGTGTATATGTGTGTGTATATGTATGTGTGTGTGTATAAATATGTGTGTGGGGGTGCATGTGAGTGCTGGAGCCTCGGAGGAATTTATAACAGTAGCAAAATTACAGTCATGAAGTAGCAATACTTTATGGTATGTGTGGGGGGGTGGGCGGGGCTAGGGGCTCTACACAACATGAGTTATCAAAGTGTCGAAGCCTTAGGAAAGTTGAGAACCACTGTCCTAGAGGGAGATTCTCCAGGCCAGGCACAGCAAGCCCAGGACTTTCCTCTTACTACTCTCTGTGTGTTCTAGCTAGACACTGAACCCAGAACTAGTTCATTCTCTCTCTCGTCCTCCTTCCCCTACTTCTCCTTTTCCCCTTCCTTTCTTCCAATTAATTTTGTGTGTGTGTGTTCCACTGGGGTTCAGGCCCAGAAGTCCTCTTTAAAGCCCTTGAGTGGTTCAGAGAAATGGGAACATTGGCATAAAGTGACCTAAAGAGGGGGACTCTTCCAGGCCTGTCCCGCAAGGTCCCCACCTGAGTAAACATCCATTTGCATATCAATGTGTGGATTACAGACGTTTTCCTTCTGGGAACAAGCCAGCGCCCTGTTAACTCACACAGGTGTACAAACATCTAGGGAACCCTCCAACCCTGTGCAACCTGGGAACCGAGGCCTGGGAGTCCTCAGGCCTGAGGCCAAGGCCATGCTGGTCCAGCGCTGTCTGTTGCAGTTGTCGCAAGGCATGCTTTGCTTGCCCTCCTTCCCAGATGACCCGGCTTCGGGCATGCGCAGGGGCCCTGTCTCTCCTGAAGCCAGGTTTGTAACTCAAGGGTTTTATCTTGGGTCTTAGTCATACAGATAAAAGAATTTAAAATGGATTCAAAAGAAATCTCAGGAACAATTTTATTGGCATTATAGACAGGCACCCAGCAGGGCCAGCAGCTGCCTTGAGGAGAAGAGGAAAAAGAGAAAGTTCGTACTTTTCTGAGTTTGAGGTCAGGAAAGTAAGCTCGTTAAGCAATGGAAGCCTCCAAGCAGCTGCTGTGGAAAGGAGGGAGAGAGAGAGGGAGGGAAGGAAGGAGGGAGGGAAGGAGAGAGATTGAGAGGGCAGGCAGGTTTAGGAAGAACAGGAAAGAAAATGCCACTCTTTCTAAATCAGAACTCGGGAATTGAACGGGTCTAGCAATGAGAGTCCATAGGCGTCTACAGGAAAAGTGGGTTCTGGGTCTTTGATGGTCTCCTTCCGGAATCTCTTCAGGTGTGTTGTTTCTTTGCACCTACTGGTTTCAGGCCACGGAGCCTTTTGAGGCTGTAGGACAGGATTTGTCCTTGTTTCAGGATGTCTTCGCCTTGCCTGGGCAAGGGAGGATCCTGCCTTTCTCACCAAAGGATGCTGTCAACCACCGACCAGGCCCTTTGTGAAGGGGGCTTCTGTCCGACCACAGCTTTTGGGAGTTGGGGCCTGAGGATGTGTCTCATCCTCACCTGAGGAGGTGGCCAGCCCTGGCAGCAAGTGTCTACCCCGGCATGTCCCCTCCAGAAACCGTTCCATTCTAGCCCGGGAAAGACGACGTTACTATATGTTCTGCCCCAAAAGGTGCTTGTGGAGCGCGTAGCTGCCGTGTTTGCTTGTTTGCGTCACATTGAGGAAAGGTGGCTTTAATAGCAGTGGGAGAGTTCACCACACACATGGGACTTCTCCAAGAGCCATACTGAATACGGGGTCCCAAGCTGCAGCCACCACCTCTGCTGACGCTCCTGCTGGCACAGCCTCTCTCGGGAGGGGAAGGTGAGAGGCTCGGACTATATCAGCTGGGTGCAGTACAGAACAGGGTAATTGGATTGTTACAGGTGCTTCAAGGCCGCTGAGTCACTGTGGGGGATCAATTACCCAGGGGAGCAGGCGTCATCAGTGGGGGCGGGGAGGCAGCCTGTAACTCGGAGTCCTCGTCTGGAAGCAGTGGGGGCCGCAGGCCGCACCAGATTGGCTCCTGCAGGAAGGACAGACGGGCATCACTGCTGATGCGGATAATTGTGATTTCCTCTGCAGCAGTAATTAACCCTGAAGCACCTTGTAGGGCCGTGTACTTTCAGGAGGCGGATGCCGGCAGCTCGGGGGAGGTTAACACTCTCTCTCTCTCTCTCTCTCTCTCTCTCTCTCTCTCTCTCCCTCTCTCTCTGACGTGCTTTTCAGAGTGTGTTCAGTTCCAACTAATATCATTAAATAAACAAGTCCTGGATTCAGCCATCAGGCCATCAGGCAGAGGATTGCGATTCCGTGAATGCAGGTGATAACAGGGCCTGTATACTGGTGTTGGTAAGGCTGAAGTCTGGCTCCTGGCAGCCCCGCCAAGTCCAGGTTTGGCTGCTGTCCTCAAGCAGGCCAATCCAGAGAGGCAAAACTAAGCGAAAAGGGAAGAAAGTAGACTTATCCAATGAGGCCCTGATGGGAAGAGGAGCAAAGACATCGCGTGGTGAAGATTTGAGGTCCAGGTTTAAATAGAGGCGGGCAAGAGTTAATTCACAGCCAAGCCAGCCTGTCCTGTAAGGTGGTCTCCTGAGGACCGTATGGAATCTCTCTGGAGACCTAAGTTCCCTCTCTGGCTGGTCCTGGCCTTCAGCTTTTTCCTTTTCTCAGTATGAGGTACCTGAGTAAATCTCAACTCCCTGGGGAGCCTCTTTAAAGAGCCTATTAGCCAAAAGGAAGCAGGTGTACAGGTGAGTCTTCAGAATGGCTTCCCTCCCGCCCAGGTGGCTATAGTGCCAGCCTGTTTGGGCAGAGAGCTGACTGAAGGCCCATGGCCTCTTTGTCAGACCTCCTTAGGGTAGGGCTTTATCTTCTCCCTCCTCTAGGACCCATCTAGCCTACCGATCTCCTGCTGCTTCCGGCTCACTGAGTGACCCACAGTGGTCTTCCTGGGTGGGGCCATAGGTGCACCTTCCTGAAATGCAGCTACAAGATGACGGATCCTCCTTGCTTCAAAGACTTAGAAGGGGCCATGGAGGTGGCTCAGTTGGCAAAATGTCAGTCATGCAGGCATAAGGACCGCAGGCCAGATCCTCAGTACCCATATACAAAGTCGGATGCGATGGTGTGTGTACCTACACTCTCAGGGCTGGAGCTGAAGACAGGAGGATATCTGGATGTCACTGGTGGCCAACCTGGCTGAATCGATGAGCCCTGAGCTAGAGACATGGTTTGAGTGATGAAGAAATATACTTGAGGCTGACCTCTGGCCTCCGCAGGCATGAGAACACATGGGCAGATCAGCATCCATAGACACGGATTGCAGTGAGTCCCCATCTGTTTTCCTACAGGTACAGACAGGCCTGGTGAAGCCTGCTGGCTAAACCCACTCTTTCCAGATGGAAGACCCCAAGCTGCAGGTTTCCTCCACACCAACAGCGATGATACGGGCTCCCTTGGATCAGCTATCAATCACACACAGTGACCCAGCTGCCTTGGGGCATTTGGGGCAACCCATTGTCCATTCAGGAGATGAAGAAATGGAGACTCAGCGAGAAAAAGAATCTACAATCAGGAAGTGGTTGAGATGGCTGCAGAATGGCTATTTCTTATTTATTTATTTATTTTACAATATTCTGTCTGTGCGTATGTCTGCAGGCCAGAAGAGGGCACCAGACCTCATTACAGATGATTGTGAGCTACCATGCCAGGAATTGAACTCAGGACCTTTGGAAGAGCAGGCAATGCTCTTAACCACTGAGCCATCTCTCCAGCCCCAGAATGGCTCTTTCCTTAGACATCAAGGAGAGTGTGACGAGTCTCTGAGAGAGTGACAAGGATGATTTCAGGTAGTTCTAACCCAGGGCCAGAGGGCCACAGGCAGCTGAAGGTAGCTATGTAGGCAGACCAAGACATCTTAACATTTACTTAAAATATTATCATGTAATTTATTATATTTTTGTGATTCTATTGACTCAATTATGAGGTTATTTGTTTGTTTGTTTGTTTGTTTTTTGAGACAGTGTTTCTCTCTGTAGCTTTGGAGCCTGTCCTGGAACTCACTCTGTAGACTGGGCTGGCCTTGAACTCACAGAGATCCACCTGCCTCTGCCTCCCGAGTGCTGGGATTAAAGACGTGCATCACTAACGCCTGGCATGAGGTTCTTTTTTTATCTTTGTATATATGATCTGGTGTGTATGCGTGTGTATGTATGTTGTGTGTATGCAATATGTATGTGTGTAGAGGTTGGAGGAAAACCTGGGATATTGGTCTTTGTCTACCATTTTGTTTGAGACAGAGTTTCTTGTTAGCTGCTGTGTATCCAGCTAGCTAGCTCATGAAGTTCTGGGAAGTCTCCTGTTTCTAGTTACCGTAGTCTTGCTATAGGAGTACAGTGATTACAAGGAGCACCCTATGGCACCTCACTTTTGGGTGGGTTGTTGGGGCCCTGAATTCAAGTCTTCACGCTTGAGCAGGAAGAGCTCTCCCCTGAGCTGTCTACCCAGCTAGCTTGGGTGGTTCTCCAGTGTTAACTTTGTAGATGGTGACGTCAAGTTGTCATGGCTACATAGTGGCTCGGACCCACCCAGTAGATGCTCAGAGGTGTGAGCTGCCTTCTTTATTCTTTGCATCTGTATCGTTGATCTGTCTGCGTCTCTGAAGGGGGATCTTGCTGCCCTGAGAGGAGCCAGCAGCCTGTTGGAGCCTAGCGGTGGTTCTGGAGAGGAGCACAGGATTTGATCAATAAACAAGCAAGATGAAGCGGTGAGATGGCTCAGTGGGCAAAGCGCTCGCTGTGCAAGCCTGGGGATGGAAGTTCCATCCCTGGAACCCATATAAAGGCAGAGAGAGGGAGTCAACACCACAAAGTTGTGGTCTGTTCCCCATACATGTGCTATGGTACAAATCCTCCCCAGTCACAGTACTAAAAGTGCAAGATGCCTAGATAAATTAGAATTGAATTTCATATAAAACTAACATTTTCGGGAGGATAAAAGTTTGTCCTGTATGATCACTGGAATATATTTATATAATAAATACAATATTTGGGGCTGGAGAGATGACTCAGCGGTTAAGAGCACTGACTGATCTTCCAGAGGTCCAGAGTTCAATTCCCAGCAACCATATGGTGGCTCACAACCACCTATAACGAGATCTGGTGCCCTCTTCTGGCCTACAGGCAGGATACTGTACAAATAAATAAATAAATAAATCTTAAAAAATACAATATTTAATATATTTATACTGAGAAAGTATTTATTGGCTGAAATTCGAATCTCACTGAGCACTTTTTTGTAGTTCCAGGTGAATCTGAAACTGACCAAATGCTGTAGGAGGCTTCGTTGGCTGAACAGGACCCCGGAGTGGGCTTTGTAGGACCCCGGAGTGGGCTTTGCAGGACCCCGGAGTGGGCTTTGCAGGACCCCGGAAGTGGGCTTTGCAGGACCCTGGAGTGGGCTTTGCAGGACCCCAGAGCGGGCTTTGCAGGACCCTGGAGTGGGCTTTGCCCAGAAGCTCAGAAACCCATCCTGAAATTGGCAACTCCACCCTCAGTAGAATCTGGCCAGCTGTGTTTTTGACTGACATGATTTTAATTACAAAGTCCCTAGCCAGTCAAAACACAGATCTGGGAGCTCAGTCCCAGTGGATACACCCACAACACAACTCCCGGGACCTAAGGCTCAGGGAACGCTGAGAAAGACAGGAAGAAAGGTTTGTAAGAGCCAGAGGACCAGGGAGTTTGCTGGAGAACTGTTTCTCCTAGCAATGTCAGAAGCTACACCCATAAGGTCTCACCAACATGACTGCATAAATATGATCTAAACAAGGATGATACCAACAAACACAACAAACTGGTTGGGGAAAAGTTCTTGAGGCCTCAACCTTACATGAGAAACTCTAGACAATGGAGGAAAGCTGAAAGTGGGAGAGATGGTCCTTCTAGGGACGAGCACACCAATCGGCTGTCCAGTGTCAGAACGTCAGCCCTGAAAACACGATACAGGTAACATTATACAGACAGAACAGGTTATATTCAGAAATATTTATGTAGATACACATAATGCACATATGTGCATGCAATAACAATAAAAAGGGGCCATGGATTTGAATTAGAATGGGGAAGAGCTTATGGAGGGTTTGGAGGGAGGTAATTGTGTAAAATTATATTATTAAATTATATTAAAATTTCAAAAAAATTTAAAGACGTTTTCGATCGTCAAAACAGATCAGGAACCTTCACACACAAATCTAGAATTTCTAGTTTCTGCCTCATCTTGTGTATTATGATCTGAACGTGAAGGGTCTCCCACAACAGGCTCATATGTACTGGTACTTGGTCCCCAACTGGTGGTGCTGAGATATTGTGGAACATTTGGCATTGTGGTCTAGCTGGTAGAAGTGTGTCATTGGAGGTGGGCCTCGAAGGCGATGTCCGCCTCTGGTTCCAGGCGGATCTGTCTGCTTCTTGATCCTCCGAGAAGTGACAAAGCTGTGCAGCAAGCTGCCACCACCACCACTGAAGCTGCCTTGGTGACCTTTGTGGACTGTGTGCCCTGAGACTGTGACCCAGAGTAAAATCACCCCTTAAGTTGCCTCTCCCAAGTGTGTTACCCCTCAAAGTAACAAACTTATAGGGTCTTCCTATGCAGGGCAGGCTGGTCTTCAACTGGAGATCCCCTTGGCCCCACCTGCCAAGTGTTGCTTGTTGGGATTATTGGCAACAGGTGTCTGGGTTAGTTCCTGGTGTTCTTTAAAAAAAAAATGTGTGTATGTGTGTGTGTGTGTGTATGCCATGTGTGTGGATGTCCACAGAACCCAGAAGCGGACTTTGGATCTTCTGGATCTGGAGTTACAGGTGGCTGTAAGCTTCCCAATGTGTAAGAGTCAAACTTGGGTCCTTGGAAAAGCAGCAAGCACTCTTAACCACTGAGCCTTGCTTTGGTTGTCTGACATTTGCCCTTGAGACTTGATAGCAGTACTGTCAGCTGAGTCCCAGAACCCTCAGGTGTTTGCGCTGGCCTGCTAGTCCAGTGGATATCACCTGGTGGCAACCCCAGTCCCTGACTCACTTCTCCTAGTTCAGCCCCAGCCGACTCTAATCTATCACCTCTTCTGATTTCACCACACACCGGATCATCCCCTTCTTGTAACAATAGCAAAAATACCAAGAGTCTGCACTCAACTGTCCCCTCTGTTTCTCTCTCAGGGATGCCCCTTCCTATCTGTTCATTGGTCACCATGTGGGTTACCTTTCTTCTACAGTCAGACTGACCCTAAGGCTAGTCCTCATGCCCGTGGCTTTCTTCTGAATGTCTCCTAGAAGCCCTGGCTCAGATGCTTGCTGGTGCACACACAGATGCTGCCACTTAGCAGAGTTTCCTCATTGCTCAGATTGACAAATGGAAAATGTGACTCTCAAGGATTAAACACAGCTGAAGCTGGGTAAAACTGAGACTGGGACCCGGGCAGCAGGGAGGAGGGGGTTTCTCACCCACCTACGTGCTCTTGGTGAGGAGCCAGCCCCCAAATGCTCTAGGGTAGCATCACCATGTGCTTGAGAAGCCATCTCTCTGACTGACTGACTGATTGATTACTAAAATCCTTGGCTGTTGAGCAAAGTCTTTCTCACTCAGCTGAGAAAATTCTCTGTGCTCTTCCTAGTCCCCGGAGATCAGATGAAGGGAAGCCCTGATGTTACCAGAGAGCTTTCAATAGCCGAGGGCTTTGGGGCCGGAGGGAAGGATCTGTTTGTGC